GTATAACAACGCCACGTACCCCGTCGTTGCCGCATATCATCATCTGTATCCCAACCAGATGGTTTGGTGGGATATGGTGCAGGTGAAGGAGCGCCTGAGGGTTGGCCAAGTGGACCAATATGTGGGTCACCATGATCGTACCGACTTTTAAATTATCAAATGGTATACAGGGTCCAAAATCATGCTTTTGATTTGGTACCCCCTCGTCATGGGATGTCAAAGAAACAGCTTTTAGTTAATGACAACCAGGAATGTTGATATGAGCAAGAAAATAACTTTCAAAATTAGGAAGAATCAAAAGCTACGATAAAATAAATGGGGGTGATATGAGGGTTTTATATGCTCTTTCCAACATACTATAACACTTTTATTTAAAATTCTGTAATGACCATAAATCATGTATAAAGCATGCTTCCCGCCTATATAAATCCTACTTTATATCAATGTTGTAAAACCCGACCCGTCCAATGACCAGGCGACTGGGTCACGTGTTGGCTGGTCTGACCGGTTGGTCCAGCTGGTGCTGACATCAGCATGATGCCAGCCCACAAAACAAAACCATAATACTTATAAACTATGTGCTGGGCTAGGAAAGTTCAAAGTTGGGTGAGGCAAACTATCGAACAGGTGTTAGGCAAGTTCAGGGGATAAGGGGAAGGAGAAGTGAAGGTGGAGGATCTCTGGCCAGGAAACACACAACAAGCACAGCAACACACCATTGACACAACAACACAGCCAGAGGTAAAGGAGGGTGAAATTGTAGCCTATAAAATTATCATATAAAGATGTAAAAATATTTATATTCACCAATAAAAGAAGCTTAGAGATCACATAACATATAAATAATATTTTTGGTTTTGAAAAGTAAAAGGTTAAATCTTATTTTCAACAGAGGAAAACTTATAGAAGACAAAGGAGGCATTTGAAGCAAAGAATTTCACCATCACATTCAGACTCCACCACATCTCCTCATCGCTTCTCTAAACTATCTTTCTTTCTTTCAGGTTTTAACTCCCATTACCAAACACTTGCTCTAGTACATTTGCTCTTTCCATTAATCCATGGCTTTCAGTGTTTATAGCTTTTAGTTAGGGTTTCATGTCAACAATTGGTGATGGCAGATCACAGATGTAAAGCTGGAAGAAGACTTGGAAGAAGTCGAATGAAATTGAAATGAAGGAGAAAATAGTAATGGGTTAAAATTCCTTTAGTTTAGGGATTTTGGATATTAGACTGGATTTTATTCCAGGCCAGTTGGGCTGGTGGTTTAACACTATTATGCTGGTCCAATAGCGGTCCAAAGACGTCCAACAGGTAAGTCCGGGTTTATTTCTAGTGTGAAACGGGGAAGCTGCCAAAACCCAGTTAGATCGGCCAGTCTTGTCTAGGTTTCAGAACATTGCTTTATATACTAAACATCTAAGTGTGAAAAAACATAAGATAATTAAATTAACTTGACAAACCTTGGAGATAGCACGCTCCAAATATCCGATAGCCTCCGCTAGTAGTCCTTTCTGTAGTTGAGTCTGACCCATAACTATCAAAGCACTTATGTAATCAAGATCCTTATCAAGTGCCAATCTGTGACGAAATGTCAATCACTTAATCCAACAACTAAGGAGATTATTTGATACTTTAATATAAATAAAACCACAGAATGAAGACGGGAAGGAAAAGAGACATAAGAAGTGAATATTACTGCAAAAAGGAAATTGCTCTTTCTTTCGATCCTTTTGACAAGTGTTTGACTGAAAGCTGTCCAGAATCCAAACAACAAAGATGTAAGACAACATGTAACACAACCCTTACATTCAAATTGTAGGTGAGGTTTCCAGGTTAGTCACTTACAGCTACCAGTCCTTGATGGGTTAGGTCCTTGAGAGATATTTTGCGTTGCTTTGCAGGGGAATCCAAATGTTTTCCAGGACTATCAATTTCTTCAGATTTTTCCAATACTGATGGAGCATCCTTGTCCGGTAACCCCAGCTTTACATGAACAGCAGGATGTTTGAGGGATAATTGCTGCAAAGTTGATCATGGTTTCACACACTAAACCAACTAAAACATTTCACACATGAAAAAGAAATTCTTTCCAAGAAATAAAATGGCAATAACTACCTGAATCATACTAAATGTGCTATTAGTAACCCAATAAACCAGACTATCCCGCAAATCAAAGCAAACAAATTATTGATTCTACCCCCGCCCAGGGTCAGGGGAACTTCCCTGACAAATAATAGCCTTTCTGAGACCAGCAATTAGAAAAAAGAAAATAAAATGAACTAGATAGCAGTGTTCTCAAAATTCAATAGGCCATTGACATTATCGGTATTTATGCAATGACTTTTGCCCATTCAGTCGGGGGAGTAACGTATAGGAATGCCACTTATTTTTAATGGTCTCTAAAATCAATTATGCAATTGCGTAACCTATCCTATGAGCTTAAATTCTGAAATGATTACTCAATAAACTGTGGACAAATACAAGAACAAAAATGCATTTCACCATGAAACTCAATAAACAATAAAAAGTTTCCAAGAAGGTAAGCTAAAAGGGAAATCTGATCTAAAAATCACGGAACATAATTTCGAAGTAGAAATGAAGGTAGAATATTTTACCTGAGGAATACAATAGCCGATAAAAAATAAAGGTAGCATCCAGACATCCAAATATCTCTTGTAATACTGCAATAAGAAAGATAAACAAATTTGTACAAAATATGGTATAAAAATTACAGGGGAAATTATATGCCATTCTTATTCTCACAATTGACATGAACATAAAATCTGGACAGTAAAAAATTTAAAATGTAATAATATAGCAGTAAGCAAACCTAAACAAAACTGTTCTCAACTCATTTTTGTCAACAAGCCATGCGGGCCTTCTTGTTTTCTTAGTGAAGATGCGGGCCTTCTTGCCAACTCAACATTAGTGGAGCAGCTATCAGTCTATCACTATTGGAAAGATGGGGCCTAAAAGACCATGAGGGAATTAAGTCAAACTCTGGAACCACAAAGTCCCACCCTGTAATAAATTCCGACAGAGCATCATATTCTGTGCTCCTATAGCAAAATAACATCACATTCAACAAAAATATGAGACATATGCAGGGGAATGAAAAGCAAAATTAGTTCCTTCATTGATGAGAATATTAAAGATAAAACAGAGATCTTGGCAACCAAGTTAAGAATGCAGGGGAATGAAAAGCACAATGAGTTCCTTCATTGATGAGAATATTAAAGATAAAACAGAGATCTTGGCAACCAAATTAAGAATTGTAAACTGTTTTCATTCACTATAAAACTAATAAGATGAGAACCAACAAAAACTATAGAAATAAGATGGGTAATTGTCATATGTCATCATTATAAAATTTACGCTGTATGTTGCAAGAAGCATGGCCAAATTGTCTAGTTCAGAAACATATCAAGTCATTTGTAATCCAAAAGAAATATTAATCCATGGATACAAAAAGACTATATGACTATAGTAAGAATTAATACATATATTTATTGCTTTATACAAATATTCAAGCTGTTAGTGCCATACAGAATCAAACCTGGATGACCCTCCAGTGACATTCTCTGAATACTGGTAAAACCTAACATAAAACATGGGACCTGAAGAATTGAACAAAACACAACAAAAAAATAAGTAATAAAAATTATTCAACCAAACTAGATACTAGGCTACTGTTGCTTAAAGTTTCCGCCTAAAGGACAGAAGACAAACAGATCAAAATACCAAAAGAATAAAAAGCAAAGAAAACAATAATAGTACAGAAATAACTGGCTAACATCTATATATATTTTTCAGTTAGGAGATGTGTATTTCTTTCTTGGTCTGTGTGTCTAGGTTTGAGATGGGAGAAGAAAGGTAAAGTTATTTACACAATATATGTAGCCGTATCACCTGGATGGACAAGGAGGCAAGGAACCACAGAAATGAGGGACACCCGATTGTTTTTGTTTCCCTCCAAAAAAGTGAAATTTGATCAATGAAACTCCTTCATGACTGAGGTGGTGGAAATGGCGGAGGCAATATGAGAAATGCATACGAGAGTCAAACAAAAATTCATTGCAAACTAAATATATGAACGACAATGAAAGGGGGAGGGAGAATGACCCTGCGAGAATTCCAGAAGAATGATCTAGTATCCAACTTGTTAATGAGGACGATGAATAGAATTACATACGACTCTCAACCTCTGAGGCAAGTCTGAATTTCATAATTCTGTGCCGGAAAAGAAGAATAAATATCTCCACATATCAGACAATTGATAATAAGTACTGCAGCCTCACTTGGAATGTCTTGCAGAAAAACACATGCACAACAGAAACAGAAACTTGGACTGGTACACAGACCATTGTGTGCATAAATGCCCTTACCAACCTTGACGGCATCAAAGACAATGATACAACATTGAGCATCAGATAGACAAATTTTTGGAAGAAACCTTAAATTCAAGAAAGAAATCGTTCCTCCCTTCTCTCTTTACGTATTGACCCCCAAAAACCTACTTCTACTCCTACTCCTTTAACAAATAAATCATGGTCAGGAGTCCATACATCTGATACAGGCTTTAAGGACACCACAACATACCCCTCAAGGTGAAGCAAAAACAAAAAAATCAACAATATTCTGCCACGATCTACACTCAAGTTGGTAAAAAATGCCAACTAAACTTAATTTGTTAATAGTTCATGTAGCTTGACAACCTCTCATTAATTATTAACAAGCCAGTAATCCCAGCATAACTTTAAAATTCCACAAATATATAAGGTTTTACAAATCCTAATCTAGATATCCTATTCGGTCCACCTTATCGCTATACGATATCACACCTTCAAGAAAGAAACTAGCATATAGCAGAATTTACACTACTGCATTTTTGTTTTCAAGATTTATTCTCTAGCGAATGTGTACTGACTAGAACTCCAAAGAACGGAAGTAACTAGAGCTAGAAACAAATTGCAAGCAAAACGAAAAAGGAGACTTACATTTGGGAGATAACTCTCCTATATTCCGCAGCTTACAAAGCTGCAAAACAACAACAGGAAGCAATGCAAGTCTGAATGCCAAAGTCGAAGTAGCAATAATTACCCACCTGAAAAGTCCTTGTACATCAACTAATTAAAACAAAACATCTCAAGAGTGGATTTCGACTTCATGAAACACATTACACACATAATAAGCTAGAGAGAGCAAGCTTTACCAAGGGAAGCCACAGAGATTATAATAAGCATCCAGCACCGAAATCAGAGTTTGAACAGGAAGAATCGACTCTTTACCACTGCCCATCACTCCATCACACAAGTTAACAATCTCCACCGCGATCGGGACGGAGTAAGCGCCGGAGTCAGTGAGCGAGTCGTCGTCTACTGAACCGGAATGGAAGAAACGAGAACTCACCGGCGAGTGCTTGAAGTAGGGCGACTCTGACGGTTCTGGTGGTGGTAGTGTCGCGTGGAGAAGGTGATAGAGCAGCGGCGCGTGAGATGGAGAGCGAGTGAAGCGACGGAGATGTGACAGTAAAAGCCTGGAAGTCGCCATTAGAGCCTGACTGGGTTTATCTACCCAAAAATAAAAAAATAGTTAATAAAAGGAGAAATGTGCGGCCCCTATATAATGTAATAAATTTGAATTTTACTTTTCTCTTTTTTAAAATAAAAACTTTCACTCTAAATTAATATTTCTAACACAATATTACAAACGAAAATCAATTATTAACATATTGATTGTGTTAGTAATAAATTTTATATTTTTTGTTTTTAGACAAACATGAAAAATTATCACACAATTAATATAAGAGTAATGTTACATCCACAACTCATAAACTTTCTCTTACAAACCGACGTAACAACTCGTAATTGGTCAATTATAATTTATTAGGTGGGACTCAGGTAAGACTTATTGCAAGCTAATCAATTACGAGTTGGCACATCAGGATTGTGAGAAAAGATTATGAGTGTAGCATTTTCCTTAATATAATGAGATTTATTATTTATTATTTATATATGTATATTATTTATAAATTTTACCCCTAAAAAATACTAAAAACCCCCTATAAAATTTCGTTTTGCCCCCAAAATATAAAAAAAATTGAGAGGAGAAAATGAAATTATCCAAGCCCATGGGACCGGTCCTAGGACCGGTCTTGGGCCCACGGGACTAGTCTAGACCAGGCCTAGGGCCTGGTCTGGGTCTTGGTTTTTCTCATGGGCCTAGGACCGGTCCCAGGCCCATGAGTGACTGGTCCCATTTGGGACCAGTCCCAAGGGACTAGTCCCAAACGGGCCCAAGCCTGGGCCCGCAAGGGACCGGTCCCTTGCCCACCTCTACATGAATGTCATATTTACGGTTACTCTATTGAATTGAATGTCATATTTATATACATTTAATTCAAATAAAGTACATCAATGAGAAGATCATCAATGCAAAATAGTAAAACTTTATAGTGTTAATTATAACATGTAATGTGCTCTTTCATCATTAAGTATGTACCTGTTCATTGAAGTACTCTTGAACTGTGGCATTCAAGTTGCCATTCCAACGTTCAACCCAATCTAGAAGCAGTTTGTTAAGCTTAGGTGTCACTTGCTCTCCATAACCAAAGGTCTTCATGTTTCCACATCCCAATATCTCTAGCCTCTCCAATGCTGGGTATTCAATAGTATATGATCCAAAGCTAAAACAAGTGAGGCTGTCTAGACATCCAAGGTCCAAGAGGTACAAACTAGGAAACACTATCCTCTCTATTGATGCTTCTTTTTCTCCCTTCTCATTTGTGACTATTTCTTCTATTGTTGAGCAATCCCATATTTGAAGACTTTTGAGCTTCACCAGACATTTGACAATGGAAGGGACGAAGAGGTTTTTTAATTTAGGACATTCATTTATACACATAGAAGTCAGGTTTCCCAAACTTGGGGAGATTATGGTGTGGTTTGGAGGTTGGGTTAGAGGTTGTCCATGGCATAGTCCAACCAAGTTGGAACTACAATAGATAACCAATTCCTCTAAATTGTGGAAAGTTGAGTTTGGTGTCCATTCCATTGTATTTAGGAGATACTTTATTTCATCACATGATCTGATATCAAGATACTTCAATTCATTTAACCCTTCTTCAACTAAGTTATGACTAATACTCTCTAAATTAACAATTTCCTCTAAAATAAGATACTCAGTTCTTTTGAGCAAACCTTTAACCCAGTCTTGTATCTCTGAAATGTTGGTTTGTGAGAGACTCATAGTTCTTGAGGATCCACTCTCAGACAAATAATAATCCCTATAGTCACAATATGCACCATATTCTATTCTTAATTTAAATTTGGATAGGTTATTTTGAAATATCAACAATTTTGGTGAGACATTAAGGTTTGAGATAAAAATCTCTAAATGAGTCAATCGGGACAAGACTTGTAACTCAACAAGATTGGCATTGCTTATCAAATTTTCACTTTCATATTCCCATTGCCTGAATGTATTAATATACAACTCCTCTAGCTTTTTGAGAGAGCGTATAACACCATAAGGTATTAGTGTTAACTTCCCACAATTATTCAAATCTAATAATCTGAGATTACTTAATTGGCTAAAGGATACGGGGATCTCCTCAATATTAGATTTGGAGAGACTAAGAATCTCTAGTTTTCTTAGCTTTCCAATTACTCCTATGTCACCCAACTCCCCACCACTAATATGCAATGTTCTAAGATTTGAAAGAAATGAAACTGAATCAGGCAATGACAAGAGTGTGAATCCACTCAAGTCTAAAACATTGAGATTTTTCATTCCTTGAAAGAAATTTCCAGGAAAAAGAATCTCAGAACTGCCATCCAACATCAAAACCTGCAACTTTGGGCATTCTAACTCATTAGGTAGCTGCATAGTATTATTTGACATTAGTGAGATACATGTGAAATCTTCGAATGTATCTATGTTTGTCCACTGTCGTACACCAATGTTAGCTTTTACCATGAATTGGTGGTTGTATTTAGGAGCTATGTTTAATGCGAAATCCCGCACTACATCATGCATTTTAACATACTCTTCACCATCATCAATTAAGAGAAAGGAAGAAGTAATGGTACTTACAATAGCATGAACTCTATCTCTGACATCTTCTATGGTCTCATCAACGTCTTTAAACAACCTCTGACCAATCGCATATCTCACTAAAACTTCAATTGGAATTTTGCAATCCTCTGGAAATAAGCTGCAAAATAAGAAAAGTGATTTTGACTCCACTTTTTCTAGATAATGCAAGCTCAGCTCCAAAGATGAAAATAAGATCCCCTCCACTCCTGGGATGTCAGAGGGGTTGGACTTTTGAAGTTGTCGTGCTGCGTTTCTCCACACATGCTTGTTCTTGCCCTTTAAAGCTCCTGCTATTATCACAATTGCAAGTGGCAAGCCACCACATTTAGCAGCTATCGCTCTTGCAAAAGAGCTTATGTCAGAAGTTTCGACATTTGAGCCCACAATCTCGCTGAAAAGTATCCAAGATTCTTGCTTTGATAAAGTTTCAACTGTATGTATCTCTTGACACTCCATTTGATTACTTACAGTTTTGCTTCGAGAGGTGATTAAAATTTTACAACCTCTATGGTCACTCCCAAAAGGAATACCAATCTCATCCAATTTGATTCTTTCCCAAACGTCATCTAAAATAATGAGGATCCGCTCTTTCTCCTTGATTCTCTCCCATAGGAAACTTGCTCTTGCTATTTCAGAACTAGCCGGCAAGTTTGTTACATGTAACATGTCAGCAATATTGCTTTGAATTTTCCTAATACTAGGGGTTTGAGAGACAACTGCCATCACTACAACATCATACATCTTAGCTTCTTTTACATGTTGGCTGATTTCTTTGACTAGCGTGGTTTTACCCACACCCCCCATTCCCCATATTCCAATTATGCTGACACTGTCACTATCAGTTAAGGCCTTCATAACTTGCTTCTTAATTGAATTTCTAGATTCAAAAGTGCTTGAAGAAAATAACTTCGATGACGATATAATACCAAATGGAGGACCAGGACAAGACACACTCTCATCAAACTTTCCCACTTCTTGGAGCTGTTCAGATATCACCAGAGTATGCTTCTTTGCCTCTTTACTGAATCGATAACGTTGTTTGAGATTAATGCACCACCCTTTGAGGCACCTCTTGTTGGCTTTGTCTTCATCTTCCAAAAAGCGTTCAGCTTTTGCAGAAATATTATCAACTTCTGCTATCCAGCTTCGAACATTAGCAAAGATGATTTCTCCTTGTCTTTCAGCAACTTCGATTTTCAGTTGCATACTACGTCTTCTATCTGCCAGCTTCTCAGCTTGCTTTTTCAAAATTTCAATGTCGTTGTTGTAACGAAACAAGTAACCAAGTTGATCACCAGCGGCTGCAAAACAACACTTTCCAACCTCTACAGTAATTGAAGAAAGAAATTCCATGACTTTTTTTTTTTTTTTTTTCTTTTGGATATAAGGAGAGAATTCTATTGAGTAGCCTTTGAAGGTGAGAGAAGGGTTAAATAAGGGATTTGCAGGAAAGGTTTAGGAGAAATTTAGTGGCCTAGTTTGCAATAAAACTATCAGATGAAGAAATTAATTAAATGATGAATGATTGAGGGCAGTGAAATGATAAGAAGAAAGAAAAGCACAAAAGGATAAGAAGTAAATATATATGACTACTTGTTGTCTGCCATTTATATCATTAAATATATAACAATATAAAGAATTATTTTTTGATTACTTCTTGTCTGCCATTTACACCATTAAATATATAATAACACTAGTGCAATCCACTATAAGAAAGCTTAAAGTGCTGACATTTCATGAGTGAAGTTTCCCATACCTGACCATTTCTTTTTCCACTTTATAAAAGTGTTGTTTTTTCCACTTCTTTTGCGGTTTTTGTTGGATTGAATGTGAATATGATGAACTTTCAAAGTCAGTTTTGACTATAATGAATAAAGCTCGAATCGGAATTTAAGCATAAAAAGAAGTAATATTTATATGAAATAAGAAAAGAGAAAGGTTACAGCATAAAGCAAAGAAAATTAAATGGTATGAAGAAGGAAGGTCTATATTATATAATGCATCTTGGAAATGAATGATTCCATCAAAAGCAAATGTTAAAATAAACAGATCAATTTGGTAATATTTACTAACTTATAATAGTATAAATTTTAATAGTTTGCTAATAATTCATCGGAAAGGTTTTTGTTATTTTAAAAATCTAAGAGGATCTTTTATTATTATATCATATCATAAAAGAATTAATATCATTAAGTCTACCAACAATGAAATTACATAATTCTGAATTATATAATAAAAAATTGAATGGAAATAACCACCCTGGGTGACCTAGGGGTCAATTAGAACTCTTTGATGTATTACTCAAGAGGTCTTGAATTTAATTCCCTCGATTGTTAATAAGGGTGGTTATTGAGAGTTTACTTAATCCTTAACTTCAGGCCACATGAGATTAGCAACAATGAGTTAGTCGAACTTGATCCTTAACTTCAAGCCTTAGGGGATTAGCAACCAGGATTTTAGTCAATCTTTAACTTTAGGCCTCGGAGGATTAGTCGAGTGGCACGCAAGCTGTCTTAGACACTCCTTTTCATTAAAAAAAAAAAATTGAAAGGAAATGATGAGTTTTAAACCATCACATCAAAATAAACCATTAGGGAACAAAATATTCATTCTCATTCAATCCTAATAGGTTTTTTTTTTTTAATGTGTTTAAAGTTGGGATTTAAAGAAATTCTTGTGGGTATTGTGGTGGAAGGTTTCAAGGAATTGCTACCGTTGAAATCTGCTGGGAATGCTGAATGATTTGAGTGGTGTGGGGTGTGGAATGATAAGAAGAAAGAAAAGCACAAAAGGACAAGAAGCAAATATATATTACTTCTTGTCTGCCATTTACATAATTAAATATATAATAATAATATAAAGAATTATTTTTTGATTACTTCTTGTCTGCCATTTACACCATTAAATATATAATAACACTAGTGCAGTCAACTCTAGGAAAGCTTAAAGTGCTGGCCATTTCATGAGTAAAGTTTCCGCGAAAGAGCCAGGAAATTTCCCATACCTGACCCCCTCTTTTTTCACTTTATTTAAGTGTTGTTTTTTCCACCTTTCTTTTCAGTTTTTGTTGAATTAAATGTGAATATGATGAACTTTCAAGTCAGTTTCAGGATAGTAAAGCTGGAAGCTATGGACATTGGGATTTTTGCACTGAAAATATGTACCAACCTATATGTCTCTTGACTCATACCAGTAATTCAGATGCATGATTAAACAATAAATATTTTTCTAATGAACGGCCATCCATCAAATATGGACGGCCATTTACTTACATGGACTTCCGTCCATATTATATGGACGGGGGTAGAAGTGCTATCGAGCCGAGCTGAGCCGAGTTTTCGGCTTAACGAGCTCGGCTTGTGAGAGAGGAAGACTAAATGAGCCGAGACCGAGCCGAGCCGAGCCATAAATTATGTGACTCGGCTTGGCTCGGTAATGAGTTTGACATATTTTGAGCCGACTCTTGAGCCGAGTTCGAGCCGGCTCGGGAGCCATCTCCAAATAATTGTGTTTTTTTTTTTTATTCAATTTTTTTTTAAAAAAATTCGCTAGGCAGAAACTGGGCGTCTGATTGTCTGAAATTCAAATAAATGCAAATCATAAATTCAAACCCAACATTCTCTTCAAGAAACCATTCACGACGGCAGTATAATCTCCCCTAACATCAACAATATGCTTTTGCCCTTTTGCAACACAACTCAAATTTCAGAAATTAACCGAGTGAAATCTTTTTTTAAAGGCAATTCAAAATAAGAAAGTAGTGAAACATCAACTACAAAGAGCCACAATTTTGCCAGATAATCATGGGGAGTTTGGGAAGTGCCTCTGGAAAATGTTGTCAAATAGTTAAAAGCTAAAAGCTGTAAGCTCTACTATAGTGTCTAGCTGAAACCAATAAAAATGCTTTTAGAAAAGTGCTTTTGGGAGAAGCACTAGATAATTCTCTATTTATCTCGTGGCAACAAACAGCTCTTAAAGAGTAAAGTGAGTTTTAAAAAGACAATAAACATTTTCAGAAAGGTACACTTAAGCACTTCTGCTTAAAAAAACACTTCCTTCAAAATCAATTTCAAACCCAGCTCCACAAAATTAACCCAAAGCCACTTTTGAACATTTAAAAGCACTTCTGGCAGTTCCCAAAGCACTCTCAAGTCCAACACACACTATACTTTTGGCTCTCAATTAGCACAACCAGCATTCAAAAACAACAAAACCTTAATTATTTCAGCTCCCACAAAAAGTAAAAAAAGGTCCTTGCTCTAGATATCACATATGTCACTCCTATCTACAATTTATGGATAAGCATCTAAATTTTTATTTTATTTTTTAAACCAAATTAAGTTTGGACAGACGTCCATTCCTTACAGACACCCGTTCAAACTTAATGGACGGGCATCCTGTATTTGTGAACGCCCGTCCAAAATGAAGGGACGGCCGTCCACAACCTATGAACGGTTGTCCTTAGTTTTTATAAGAATTTTTTATTCTATTTTACTAGTGGACGAGCGTCCTTTAAATGGGGACGTCCATTCGTAGTAAATGGACCCCCATTCATATAATATGAACGACCGTCCATATTTGATGGTCGACTGTTTACTAGAAAAATATTTATTATTTAATCACGCGTCTGAATTGCTGGTGTGAGTCGGAGGACACGTAGGTCAGTATACATTTTCGGTATAAAAACTCGGTGTCCGTAGCTTTATTGGGCATCGGTGGCCCATCAATGTCAAAACTTTTGACTATAATGAATAAAGCTATAATCGGAATTTAATCAATGGAAATAATAAACTATGATGTTACCCTACCCTACCAATTTAATTTCCCACAACTTGCGATGAAACCAGCTGGAAACTTTAAAATAATTATCTGCAAGAAAATTAGATATTGAAAGCAAATATAATTCTATGTTGATCTGAGTTGATCTTGAATAAAATACATGATTATGATTAATGCTGAAACTTCAAATAGAATAATTTGGGTAATATTTACTAACCTGTAGTAGTATAAATTTTAACAATTTACTAATAATCCATCGGAAGGGTTTTTGTTATTTTAAAAATCTAAGAGGAATTTTTATTATTATATCATCTCTTAAAATAATTAATATCATTAAGTCTACCAATAATGAAATTACACAATTCTTAATTACATAATAAAAAAATTGAATTGAAATAACCACCCTTGGATGGTCGGGTGATCAATTAGAACTCTTGGGTGTATTACTTAAAAGGTCTTGAGTTTGATTCCTTCAGTTGCTAATAGGGGTGTCCATCGAGAGTTTACTTGATACTTAACTTTAGGCCATGGGAGATCAGAACTCAATCCTTAACTTCAGGCCATGGGAGATCAGAACTCAATCCTTAACTTCAGGCCTTAGGGGATTAGCAATCGAGGGTTTAGTCGATCCTTGGCTTCAGGCCCTGGGGGATTAGTCGCTTTGCGCATAAGTTATCTCGGCCACCAAAAAAATTGAATGGGAATGATGAGTTTTAAACCATTACATCAAAATAAACCTTTAGTGAACAAAATGTTCATTCTCATTCAATCCTAGTAGTTTTTTTTAATATTTTTAAAGTTGGGATTTAAAGAAAAGATTAGCAACTAATAGTTTAGTTGAACTCAATCCTTAACTTCAGGCCCAGGGAATTAGCAACTGGGAGTTTAGTTTATCCTTAACTTCAGGCTCCAGGGGATTAGTTGAGTTGTGCGTAAACTGACCCTGACAATCCCGATCACTAAAAAAAAAAAAAAAAAAAAAATCTAAATGTAAATGATGAGTTTTAAACCATTATATCAAAATAAACCATTGATGAACAAAATATTCATTCTCATTCAATCCTAATAGTTTTTTTTTTTTTTTTTAAATGTTTTTAAAGTTGGGATTTAAATAAATTCTTGTGAGTATTGTCGCGAAAGGTTTTTGAGGAATTGCTATTGTTGAAATTAGTGAGGTGGGTACTCTCATTGACATTGATGCCGTTCAAATTCCAATTCGAAGCTGGGGCGAGGATGAGACTAACTCTGTCCCTGGCTCGACTTGCCATTGGGGCATTGCTTTTGGGCCTAGGCCCGCCATGTTCCTCGATCAATTCGGGGAATCCCCACCTCGTTTGAGGCAGGGAACATGCCCATCCTAATTGGGGTTATTTTGTTAAATTTTAAACTCTTATTGTGATGGGGTGTTTTATTAAATTATCAAATGTTAGGGATTAAAAGTAATACTCTGAATTATAATAATAATAATAATATTATTATTAAGAAGGAACGACAATTCAGTAAAAGCTTCTCCAGATAATCTATTATTCATCTCAACCAAATTATTAATTATTTTTCCTACCAATTTATTCCAAACTTACCAAACATATTAATATAACATTTCCCAGTAATTTTCAAAGTATACATAATGGTGGAAAATTGACTCGCCCGGCCCGTGGCAGGTCACTGAATTTGGCGGGTCGGGCCTATCCCGCCCGCCAACAAAGGCAGGCCGGGTTAGGCCTGCCATTTCTTGGAAATTGGCTGGCCCAGCCCGGCCTGCCAACCCTAACCTGCCGGGTTAGGCTACGGGCTGGGCCAGGTTAGCCCCTTTTTTTATTTTTATTTTATTTGTTTAGTTAACTTTTCAAATGAATAATTAATAATTTATAAATGAATAAATGTAATTCTTTTTAGTTAACTTTTCAAATATCAATAATTAAATTAAATTAAATTTTGTTTTCGGTTAACATTTCAAATATTAATTCAATTTTAATACAATAAAGTTGTAATATAAGAAAAATTAGATTTATTCATTTATCAAAAAATAAAATAAGAAATTACAGCAATTACTACCTCTTTAAAAACCTCACCAAGAAAAACCCAATGGGACAAAAACTTGATAAAGAAAAAAGAGTGCAATAATTGACAATTAATTTACAAGTTACAATTTACAAAACAATTAATTTGGGGGTGGTTGACTAGGACCTCCCTCATCCGTATCATTTACATTACAAAATTGAAATGATTCTATTAAAGTATCGTCGACAACCTCGTATTGATCTTGATGGTGCGACCATTCTCAATATCGAAGACATGTGAAGATTATCATTTTTGGAGAAAGTTTAGTCCTCATTTCATTTAAAATTTTTCCACTTGCACTAAATGTTTGTTCGGATGAGACGATTGAGATAGGAAAAGCGAAAACATCCAAGGCAAGTCTTGAAAATACCAAAAAAATACATTTTTTGGCTTTCCAATATTCTAAGACATCAATGTTAGCTCTCTGTTGTGGATCTACTGGTAACATTACGGGGGTTGCTAAATAATGCTAAAGCTCATTACTCTCTAACTGCATGGAGGACAGTATATTAGTTGTTGTTGTTGGTGGTTGTGCTTCTGAAAAGGAGGCTGTGCTTCGGATTCGAGTCCTCTTCGGCCTATTCAGTGCATTCCAAGAGTAGAAGTGTTCATTTGTTTCTTCTGATGCAACTTCCCTGGATGTTTCGCTTCTTTGCGGGTTTCCATACCTGTTTTCATATTGGAAATATACATCTGCAAGAGAATTTGTGACCTCTCCTATTTGATTGGCATATGCTTCGGTTTGTAAATTTTCACATAAATTGTCAAAACCATTTTCTAAACCTGCTAATTTAATTCTAGGATCAAATATAGCACCTAAACAATAAAAAAAATGAATGGGTTGCCAATATTTAAAAAAAAAAATTCCATTGTCTTTATTAGTGCCTTTAAAATTTTATTGTTTTTGTTTTTTATAAATAACTTAGAAATTTTTATAATTGTATGTATTACCAATGAACTAATCGGATAATACACACCAGAAAGTTGTAAAGTGGATTGGTAAAAAAATTTAAGAAAAGAATGAAATATTTTAGCTATATGCCAATCAGTTTCTACCAAATAATGAGTACCTCTATTATTTGCTACAAAATAACTAATTATATTAGCATAAGGTAAACATGAATCAAGCATTAAATAAATATTATTTCATCTAACAGGCATGTCTAAAGCAAAAGTTCTAAGAGACATATTTGATTTTATACAAGCATCTTGAAATTCAGCATTTCTTCTATTACTACTAGTAATCCAAGCTAAAGATTATCTAATTCTATCAATATTTTCTTTAATTGTTTTCATACCACTTTTCACAATTAAATTAATAACATGACATACACAACGTTGGTGAAAAAACTTCAAATTGTTATATAAAAGATAATTAATTTGAAAAAAATCTACAGCTTTACTATTAGAACTTGCATTATCTAAAGTTAAACTTATCACTTTATTAATAATATCATAATCTTCTAAAACTTCAACAATTTTATTATAAATTTGTCGACCACTATGATCCATATCCATTAATCTAAATCCTAATAAAGATTTATTTAATTTACATTCGTTATCAAAATAATGACTAGTTACACAAATATAATCTTATTTAGCTCTACCACTCTAAATATCGGCAGTTAGAGCCACACTAATATGACAACTATGTATTTTATTTTTTAATTCTAATTTCATTTTTCCAAACAATTTTATTAAATTATTTCTAGTTACAATTTTAGAATAACTTTTAAATCCTGGAAAAAATGAATTTTTAATAAATATTTCAAAAATATTTATCTTCAGGCATATTAATAGGTTGATCAGTTACAGCAATATATAAAGCTAATTGTTCCCTATATACATCAGAATTATAACGTTAAGTAGTACTCATGTTAGTTATTTGAGTTTGATTAGCTTCTCTATTTCCATGTTGAGCAATATGTTTATTAGCATGCTTTTTTAAAGTACTAGTACCATTATCTGAATCAATTTTATAAATATTTCCACAATACTTGTATCTTGCTTTCTTCACTTGAACTCCATTTTCTACCTCGTAAAACTTATCGAAATGCGCTCAAACGTCTGATGTGTGTCTGTAGTCGCCTTCGACAGTAGTTGATGAACCCACTTCAGCTTGAGATGAAGTTGGACGAGGACGACGATTACAAGGACGACTTCTAGAACCACCGGCATGGGGAGGAATCGAGGGCATATTTTGAGGTGTATCGGATTCTGAGACTGGGAAAGCGTGACTATTTGAATCTCCTCCTGCATTTATGTTAGTAAATTCAGTGGGACTAGGACTAGGATAGTAGTTTCCTTCATCATTGAAATTGATAGGAGTGAAATATCTATCAATTGTAGTTGAAACAAAAAAATTGATGTAGAATAAATAAAAAATTAAAGAAGGAGAATTGAAAATATGAATTGAAAATTGCAAAAACTAATAAAAATTAAAATAAAAGCAAATTGATAACAAAGAGAATAAGAGATTAAGAGAATAATTGAGAGATTTCAATAGAGATTAGAGAAAATGAGAGAATAAGAGAAATAGAATTGTGAGAAAATATGAGAATTAAGGGCCAAATAATAGAAAAAAATGGGAAAAGAAAATGACGAAAAAGACCCCTCCAACTACTATAAAACGGCTATATTTCAAGGGTAAAAGGGGAATTTGAAAAAAAAAAATTTGTTTTTTTTTTTTTTTTTTTTGTTGGGTTGGCCGTTGTTTACACAACCAACCCGCGGGTTGGCGGGTTCAGCTCCAGAAAAGCCAAAATAGCAACTCGCGGGCCGCAGGGTTGCCTTATATCAATCCGGCCCGCCCGAGAGTTGCATGTGGGTTGAATCCTCTTTATTGCGGGCCGGGTTAGGGTTGACCCGCCTAACCTGGCCCATTTGTTCCACCTAATACACATCCTAAGGGGCATCTAACACCCTTCCTGAACATAAAAACCCTCCATAATTAATTATGATTTGCTTAATACGTTTGATATTTTTAGTCAAAACTGAGTTTTAATAGGTTTTCATTTGCACTGGTAATCATTGCCTTCAGTTCTAGGGACATCTTTTCCCACCAACCCTAAAATTTTTCGAGGATCCGTTGTCTAGTGGGACTGAGTTTTTCCGAGCAACCGATCCCATCAAGTATTTTTGTCAAACCTAACATGAGCAGTGGTTACCAATACCTTAGCAAAATCTGAGAAAGGCCAATAATAATTAAAGTAAAATGTTAGGGCAGATAATCAAAATTGAGCAAAAGCTTAAGGGGAAATCATAATGTTGAAGGGAGTTCATTACAAAACATAACGTCCCAATTCTAAATTATTATTCTTATAAAATAGTTCCTCTCTCTTTTTTTGAAGTCAAAAAATGAAACAGTTTTAATAATTTTAATCTATCCAAAATTTGGAGTGCCTCAGTAGCACTATCAGCTATACAAAGCACTAGTCAAAACTTATTTCAATCTATAATACAATTCAATAAACAAACTGAGAAATGAAATAATTTGACTAATATTCTCTTATTATAGCAAAACCTCCCCGAAATGTTCATCATGAGTTGAACAATCAAGACGGGAAATTATTGCAGGAATCTACGATCCTGATAGTCTGGAAACTTATGGGATATGAATATGTTGTGTAGGTGGCCTCGAGCAGATGACTTTACAACATCGTCTTGTACACTTTACAAATTAGTAATCTCCTCTCCTGCTGCTGCTAAGATCACTTGTAAAATCATCGTCGTCGTTTTCACATTGTTGCAGTAGTTCATTATACTCGGGATTATAAGCAGCAGCTAAACGCAGATGCTTTACAGCTTCGGCCTTGCGACCTACATTATATAAAGCACTGAAAAACCCACTAGTTAATGTCCAAAAAATAGACATAAATTGTAATGACGATATTGATCAATTGTGAGATGAGTGATTACCAGGTTATAAGTAAAAACACCTGAGAAATGATTGTGTAAATTCATACCTTGAAAGCAATACCAATCCATCATAATAATGGGCTTTGGAACTTTTTTCCTCTGGCTCTTCCAAATTTGCAATTCTTTCCAGATGTACAATTCCTTCAGCCATTTTCCCCTGTAACATACAGAAGAAAATGGAAACAAATTTAAAAAAAATGAATGCCCTTTTTCATCGAGTAATTATATTTTTAAGCCTGCTGACCCAGCTCAAAAAGTTTACAGCAGCCCATGGCTGGGTCCTAAAATTGAACTCAAATCGTAGCATAGTTTTGAGAATAATATGTTTCGGAGTAGTGAGTAGAATACCAAAAGAATCACTGAGTTTTACCTGCCTTACATAGGCAACACCAGCCCACTGAGAAGCAACAATTAGAAGATCAATATTTTCAACTTCTGTGGGATGGCCGGAGACGAAGAGCTGATGGGATGTCAAAGAAACAGCTTTTAGTTAATGACATTGATATGAGCAAGAAAAAATACTTTCAAAAATAGAAAGAATCAAAAGCAAGGATAAATGTGGGTGTGACTAAAGCACAATGTATGAAGGTTTCACATGCTCTTTCCAACATAATAAAATGCTTTTATTTAAAATTCTGTAATTACCATGAATCATGCTTCCCGCCTATATAAATCCTACTTTATATACTGAACATCTGAATGTCAAAAAATATAAGATAATTAATTTAAACTAGACGGACCTTGGAGATAGCACGCTCCAAATATTCAACAGCCTCCGCTAGCAGTCCTTTCTGCAGTTGAGTCTGCCCCATAACTATCAAAGCATTTATGTAATCAGGATCCTTATCAAGCGCCAGTCTGTCATCAAATGTTAACCACTTAGTGCAACAGCTATTATTCGATGTTTTAATAAAATAAAACTTCAGAATGCGGAGGGAAGGAAAGCGGCATAAAAGAGAAAATTACTGCAAAAAAGAAATTGCTCTTTCTTTCTGTCCTTTTGACAAGTGTTTGACTGAAAGCTGTCCAGAATCCAAACAATAAAGATGTAAGGCAACATGTAACACAATCCTAACATTCAAATTGTAGGTGAGGTTCCGAGGTTAGTCACTTACGGCTACCAGTTCTTTAGGGGTTAGGTCCTTGACAGATATTAGGCGTTGCTTTGCAGGGGAATCCAAATGTTTTTCAAGACTATCCGTTTCTTCAGATTTTTCCAATGCTGATGGAGCATCCTTGTCCGGTAACCCCAACTTTGCGCGAACAGCAGGATGTTTGAGGGATAATTGCTGCAAAGTTGATTAAGATTTCACAAACTAAACCAACTACAACATTTCACACAAATGAACAAATTCTTTCCAAGAAATAAAATGGCAATAACTACCTGAATCATACTAAATGTGCTATTAGTAACCCAATAAACCAGACTACCCTGCAAATCAAAGCAAACAAATTATTGATTCTACCCCGCACAAGGTCAGGGGAACTTCCCTGTCAAATAATAGCCTTTCTGAGACCAACAATTAGAAGAAGAAAATAAAATGAACTAGATAGCAGTGTTCTGAAAATTCAATAGGCCATTGACATTATCGGTATTTATGTAACGACTTTTGCCCATTCAGCCGGGGGAGTAACGTATAGGAACCCCACTTATTTTTAATAGTCTTTAAAATCAAATATGCAATTACGTAACCTATCCTATGAGCTTAAATTTTGAGATAAATAATAACTCAACAACGGGTGTACAAATACAAGAACAAGAATATATTTCATTGTGGATCTGAATAAACTAAAAAAGGTTTCCAAGAAGGTAAGCTAAAAGAGAAATCTGATTTGAGTCATGGAGCATAATTCCAAGTAGAGATGAAGGAAGAATATTTACCTGAGGAATACAATAGCCGATAAAAAATAAAGGCAGCGTCAAGACATCCAAATACATCTTGTAATACTGCAATAAGGAAGATAATTCCAATAATTTGTATTAAATATGGTATAAAAATTACAGGGTAAATTATATACCATTATTATTCTCACAATTAATGTGAACTAAAATCTGGACAGTACAAAATTTGAAATCTAATAATCTAGCAGTAAGGAAACCAAAACAAAACTGTTCTCAACTCACTTTTGCCAATAAGCCAAGTGGACCTTCTTGTTTTCCAAGTGAAGATTTCGTAAAAGAAAGCTGTTAAATATATTAAACAAAAGTCAGCACATACTGTAATAATGACCAGCAATATTTTCTCATAATATATTAATATTAATTCAAAATTTACCAAAAAATCTTACTCCTCCCTCCAAAAAAAAAAAAAAAAATTAGGGGACTCAACTTAATAGGGATGGAGGGATGTTCTACAGCACAACTATATCTAGAAAGATGAAGGAACATAATAACTGACAACTCGATTTGAAAACTTTAATCAATGATAGACAGAGTCAAATACCTGAACATTAGTGTAGTGGAGACCAGCTATCAGTATTGGAAAGATGGGGCCTAAAAGACCATGAGGAAATTCAGTCAAATCCTGGAACCACAAAGTCCCACCCTGCAATAAAATCCATGGACAAAGCATCATACATTCCATGCTACTTTAGCAAAATAACATCACCCATTCAACAAAAATATGAGACATATGCAGGGGAAATTAAAAGCAAACTGAGTACTTTCATTGGTGAGAATGTTAAAGATCAAACAGAGATCTTGGTAACCAAATTAAGAATTGTAAACTGTTTTCATTCAGTGCAAACTAATAAGATGAGAACCAACAATAACTGTAGAATAAGATGTGTAATTGTCATATGTTATCATTTTGAAAATTTATGCTACATGTTGCAACAAGCAAGGCCAAATTGTATGGTTCAGAAATATATCAAGTCATTTGTGATCCAAAAGAAAGTAATAACAGGACAGGTAACCCTCAATAATTTTGATCTATGAAAAGATGAAGACGATATATACTATAGTTAACATTAATATTGATATTTTTGTATCCATTCAAAAATTTAAGCATGTTAGTGCCTTACAGAATCAAACCCTGGATGACCATCCAGTGACATTCTCCGAATACTGGTCACACCTAAGAGAAAACATGGGACCTGAAAAATTGAACAAAACACAACAAAATAAATAAGCACAGAAATTTATTCAACCAAACTATATACTAGGCTACTATTGCTTTAAGTTTCAGTCTAAAGGACAGAAGACAAGTAGATCAAAATACCAAAAGAATTTAGAAAAAAAGAAAGGAGAAGAAAAGAATAATAGTGATAGGGGAGAAGAAAGGTAAAGTTATTTACACAATATAGGTAACTGTCTCACCTGAATTGACAAGGAGGCAAAGAACCACAGAAATGAGGGGCACCCCATTGCTTTTCTTTCCCTCCGAAAAAGTGAAATTTGATCAATGAAACTCCTTCCTGACAGAGGTGGTGGGAATGGAGGAGGCACTATGAGAAATGCATGTGTGAGTCAAACAAAAATTCATTGCAAATTAAATATGAACTACAATGAAAGCACCCTGCAAGAATTCCATAAGAATGATCTAGTATCTAACTGTGAATGAAAAAAATGAATAGATCAAAATTACATACGACTCTCGACCTCTAAAGCAAGTCTGAATTTCATAACTCTATACAGGAAAACAAAAATAAATATCTCCACATATCAGACATTCAATAACAAATACTGCAGCCTCAAAATTAGAATGTATTTCAAATAGAAACAGAATCTTGTACTGGTACATGGCCCATTGTGAACACCAATGCCCTTACTAGTCTTGACAGTGCAAAAGACAGTGAAAAAACATTGAGCATCAGATAGATGAATATTTGAAAGGAATCTTCAATTCAAGGAAGAAATCGTCCCTCTCTTCTCTGTTTAATCGTTGACCCCAAACCTACTCCTAACTTTTTAACAAACATAAAAAATATGTCATGGTCAGGAGTCTATACATCAAATACAGGCTTTACGGACGACACGACATGCCTGTCAAGGTGAAGCAAATACAAAAAATCAACAATATTCTTCCACAATCTACACTCAAGCTGGTAACAAATGCCGATTAAACTTAATTTGTTAACAGTTCATGTAGCTTGACAACCTCTCATAATTATCAACAAGCCAGCTATCCCAGCATAACTTATAAATTCTACAAAGCAATAAGATTTTACATATCCTAATCCAAATATCCTTTTTGGTTCACCCCGTCGCTATATGATATCACACCTTTAATAAAGAACTAGCAAAACAGAATTTACACTATTACATGTGTGTGAATTTTTTTATTCTCTAGCAAATCGGTATTGACTAAAATTCCAAAGAATGGACGTAACTTGAGCTACAAAAAATTTCAAGTAAAACAAAAAAGAAGACTCACATTTAGGAAATAACTCTCCTATCTTTTGCATCTTCTTAAGTTGCAAAACAACTATAGGAAGCACCGCAAGTCTGAACGCCAAAGTCGAAGTAGCTATAATTACCCACCTGAAAACTCATTATACACCAACTAATTAAAAAAATAAAATCTCAAAAGGGTGAATTTATTCACCCTACCAAGGAAGATACAAAAGAATTTAAAAAGAGAGAGAGAGAGAGAGAGAGAGAGAGAAATTTCAAAGTTCCTATCTATCATAAAGTTTACAATTTTATAGAGCTTTGTGACAAATTTCGGATATAGCTTTACCAAGGCAAGCCGGAGAGATTATGATAAGCATCAATCACCGAAATCAGAGTTCGAACAGGAAGAATCAACTCTTCACCCCCGCCAATCACTCCCTCACCGAAGTTAACAATGTCCGCCGGGACCGGCACCGGCACCGAGTAAGCGACGGATTCAGTGAGCGAGTCGTCGTCTACTGAACCGGAGTGGAAGAATCGAGAGCTCACCGCCGAGCGCCGGAAGTAGGACGACTGTGACGGCTCACGCAGTGGTTGTGGTGTCGCGTGGAGGAGGTGATAGAGCGGCGGCGCGTGAGATGGAGAGCAAGTGCAGCGACGGAGATGTGATAGTAAGAGCCTGGAAGTTGCCATTGGTGGAGTAGGGGCTTAAGCTTTGCGTTTTGGTTTTAACGAACTACTCTCTGATGGAAGGGTTTTTTAATTTAATAATATTTGCGGGGTGTTTTTGAAAAGACAGATTTGTACAATATGAGAAACCGTTATATGTTCGATGAACCGTTAATTAACAGTTGACAAAATAACAGAACGGGGACGTCTCTGTGTATTTCTAAAATCTTTTCGTTTCGGTTAATCTTTTGAAAGATTAAGGTGATTATTGTGACTACCTACCATTAAATATGGGTTGGAATTTGGATTATCGTGAAAAATAATTTTGTTTAATTTAATTACACATAGATGTGATTTTTTCTATTGTATGGCAAATTATGATTGGCTCGTGATGGATGAACTTAAAAAAGAGTTTTATTTAAACACAATTATAATATTTTATTTTAATAAAAATAAGATTAAGTATTTCTTTGGATGCTACAGTGCATACTAAATTATAATTGCTTCGGTAACGAGTAAATGTTATAAGAGTTTTTTATTTTAATATAATTATAATATTTTGTTTTAATATAAATAATTTCTATTTTTATGTATACATTTAAGCAAAATCGAGATTGCATTATTTTCTGTTTTGAACTTGGCTCGACCTGTCCTACTTAACCAGTTTGACCAAGACCTGGGGTTTTCTACGGGCTGGGCTACCACTTGCAACTATTCTTGAAATCCCTAATTTGATCTACAGCGAACAAGGGTCTACCAAGTGTCGATGTTATAAGGGTTTTGTAGAATGGTGGCTGGTGGTTAAAAGGTTTGTGTTAGATTGAATTTTAGACGTCGGAATCAGCTTAAATTTGGTCGGAAAATCAAGGTGTACACGAGTCATGGCTGGTGAATGGGGAGTTACTAAGTGCTAGGGTTAGAGGGGTTTTGTATAGTGGAGGTCGGTGGTTCAAGTGATGGTGATAGATTGAATCCTGGTTGCCAAAATTAGTTGAAAAAACAAAAACCTAACTGTTGCAGGGGTGTATTTGCTAAATTGCAAACCTATAGTGACTAACAATGTTTTAAATGTTTGTTTGCTAGATTTTAAACTTTCTGGATCACTGATCAGATTGTCGATTTAATCGGTTAACCCGGGACCCAGCCCCTTAGTTGGGTGACACTCTAGGTCGGGTTTTAAAATATTAGTATTATTGGGTGCGTTTGGCTCCCTATTTTTATCCATATTCCCAATCCTATTCTCCAAATAATGTTTGGCACATTATTCCAGAAATATTCACTATTTTTTAATTACTTTTAGACCTCATAAGGTTATTAATTTTACTAAATACCCCTGAAAAAAAGTTTAAAAATTAACAAAAACACCCCCATCAACCCAACTTGTCAGATTCCGGCAACCACCGTCGGTGATGGCCGGAATCTGTACAACAGCCTAAATTTCGACCATAAATGGCCGGAATTTCACCGATCTGGCCGAAAAAGGCCAGATCTAGCCGTCGTTGACCGAAAACGACGACCACATCTTTGGCCGTCGCTGACGGCCAAAGATGGCCGTTGTTTTGGCCTTTTCGACCGTCGACGATCATAACAGGCTGTAAATCTGGCCTTTTCAGGCCAGACACGTGCTGAATATGGCCGGAAAAGGCCATAATGATGCGTTACGGCACAGATCCGACAAGTCTGTGCCGTAACGAAATTTTTCGGCTAGATTCCGGTGGTGGTGGCCGGAATTTGGCACTGCAGGTGGTGGGGGTGTTTTTGTCATTTTATATATTAGGGTCTTTAATTAAATTAGTAAACATAAGGGTTTTTTCATAAATTTTTAAAATTTACATCGTAATACTCCCCTATCCAATATCTCAATACTATCCCCGAAATCCTATCCAAAATACTACACCAAACGCACCCATTATTATCATAAAAGAGCACGAGAAACATTTTTCTTAGAAGAGCAACAAACAAGAAAGTTCTAAATTATTATTTTTTTGAGCAATATATTATATGGAATGCATGCCATGTATTAAAAAAGTTGAGTTAACAATTTAATTTTTAATTATATTTTAGATTTTGGAAACCCTTTTTAATTAATATTGACACAAAACTTTGAATTTTTAAATTATATTTTAGGATTTGAAAATTATCCGTTGGATAAATCATTTCAAATTTAGTAATCAAAATATCCGTTGGATAAATCATTTCAAATTTACAATCCAACCCAAAATCCTTGTAATATTTCAAACAAATCCATCATTCTAAATTCATCCGACCCAAAAAAAACAGCCCATAACATTTAAAAATCTTCACTTAAAACCCAAAGCCTTAATGCAGAAGTAAACAAACAGATTCCCATTTTTCCAATTTATTTTTAAAACTGTCATTTTGGCACCGAAAATTTTCCCCTCTTTCATTCATCAAATCGTCTCTGAAGATCATCTCAAATTCTTGATCGGAGATTCGGAATCCGAATCAATGGCGAGCCGCTTCGGTTCCCAATCCGCGACCGTGACGATGCACGCGGTCAACACGCCGGGCTCAGATCTCGTCCTCACCAACTTCGCCTATTGCTCCACCTCCGATCTCCAGAGCTTCCGCGTCCCCAACTCCAATCTCTTCCTCGCCTCCGTCGCCAGCGACACCTTCGTTCTCTCTCTTGCATATCCTTTTTATAAATTCTAGTTCTTTTTCGATTTGGTTTGTTTTGTTAAACCTGCGTGGTGGACACAGTAAGTTACCGGGATCTAGAGGGCTATTTGTTGGTAGATTTATCACGAGGGAATTGTTAAGATACATGATCAACGCTGTTTTACTTTTTATTTTATTTTTTCTGAAAATTTGTGTGCCTAGCATTAATAGATCAGCCGGCCCGGCAAATTTATGCCCCCATTAACGTTACCGGGATCACTTGCTAGCATAATAATGTTACCAGGACCGGCAATGTTGTGTTACTGTACTGGTGTGGCATAGCTGTGGTAGAATTGAATAGTAAAAAAAAAAAAAAAAAAAAAAAATCTTGTTTTCGTAATATGGAAATCGGTATGTTACCATAATGCAGTTGATGTATTAAGTGACTAAAAATTCAGTAGTGTTGCTGGATTCCCATGACTTTTGGTAACATGACATGTAATATGAATTTGTTGCCAGTTGACATTGAATGTTACCTGATACGGTATGCCAATGTATGTTACAAGCAGGACATTGAAGTATGACCTTATTATGTTGTTAGATTGTGTGAAGTTTGTTTTGTTGTTACGATTGAATATTTTACTCTTGGTGACGATTATGATATTGACATGGTAAGACTGGCGGACTGAATACAACACAATAACGGTGATATATACTAAGCAAGCGTTTTATATGTTAAAAGTTTTGTGTATAATTCATATTTTATTACTGCTTTCTTGTTAGATATTACTTATATGACATTGTGTGTTTCAAAAAATGGCAGTTTTGAATTATAGTTGATTACATATTAAAAAAAGAATTATCATTGATTTGTGGTTATAGCACTGAGATTATTCGTGTTAGTAACACAAAATGCATCGCATATGCCCGGCAGTGTACCATCCTGGGGTTTTTAAATGGCCGATAAAGGTTGCATGCTATTAGCATGGTATCAATCTGTTAATGTTACTACAAAATGTGGAAGATGGGTGTTTTTGTTTCCTTTTGTGATCTTAACTGAGGTTAACTTCTCATCCGGGCATAAGCAATGGTCAAATTGGCTTGAATTCAATCCAACGTCGCCAAGCTAGAGTTTCCAGTGGTGACTCAGTATCTCTAAACAGGTTATTTATTTTGCGTTTTAATTCTTATTCTTATTGTTATTTTGATTTTGATTTTGTTTATGTTTTTGTATCTAGATTTACCGGTTTCTAACTTTATAGAAGTTTTTCTTTGGGCTTTTCGGTTGTAGATATATCCCACCAGATGATTTTAATCTTGCTTTGCTATCGGTTGAGTTGGAATTTGTTAAAAAGGGTACTAAAAGTGAACAAGTATGCACACCAATCTCCTTTCTTTATTTTCTTTGCCACTTCTTATTTTTATTTTTTCAATTGATGTATATTTTTTTTCCATTGTTAGGTTGATGCTGTTCTTTTGGCTAATCAACTCAGAAAGAGATTTGGTAACCAGGTAAACTTGTACATATCGACTAAAGTAATTTAGGTTGCCATTGTGAGTGTTTTTGTAGAAAGTACTTGTGAGCGGTGAGATTTTTATGAGGCATTTACAAGTGCCGCATTTCTGAATATGAAAGTGATTTTCTTATTCAATACTGTCTTTTGGAAAGACACCTATTTAAGTGCTTTTTTAGAAAAGAACTTCAAGCATATTTTGGGATGTTGTTTGATAAAGCCAATGCATTTGATTATTAGAAAGCACTTTTAGCAAAAATAAAAGCACTCCTAAGCATACTATTGTATGATATAGTCTTTTAGATGATTTAAAGGAATTCTTTGCAGGTTATGACGGCAGGGCAGAAAGTTATATTCGAATATCATGGAAATAATTACATTTTTACAGTAAATCAAGCAGTTATAGAAGGTCAAGAAAAATCCAATGCTGTTGAAAGAGGGATGATATCCAATGACACTTACATTGTCTTTGAAGCATCTAATGCCAGTGGAATTAAGGTATTCTATTATTTACATGTTTCATATTTTTAGACAATGTAAATGTTTGATCATTTAAGTTATGATTTGATCAATTTGGTGTAGCTTGATTCATTCATTAACTTGTGCTGTACTGTGCAGATTGTCAACCAACGAGAGGCTGCCAGTAGCAACATCTTCAGGCATAAGGAGTTTAATCTTCAGTCACTGGGTATAGGTGGCCTAAGTGCAGAATTTGCTGATATCTTTCGAAGAGCATTTGCTTCTAGGGTTTTTCCTCCTCATGTGACTAGCAAGTAATATATCTTATTCTTCAACTTATTTAAATCCTAATATGGTTATCAATGTATCTGTGCTCCTAATTGAAAGCTTTTTAATTTCCCAGACTGGGTATTAAGCATGTAAAGGGTATGCTGCTTTATGGGCCTCCCGGTACTGGGAAAACTCTTATGGCTCGCCAAATTGGAAAAATGTTGAATGGAATGGAGCCAAAGGTTTGGACACGGATATACTGTTTATTTATTTTAATTTATGTGCAGAGATTAATGAAATGATTTATACACCTTAGCTGGTGATAATGGTGGCGATAATTTTGTGTTCTTATCTGCATTCTAGCCAATAAGTGAAATCTTTGAGCTCTATCATTGTTGTTATTGTGTTAGGATTACTATCTGGTTGATCATCTAATTTTTTGTCATACAACTTTTGTTTGTTTATTTCTTTATTTTTGGTGTACTAGATGCTCTCATGTGTGCATAATACACTTTGATTTTATGCCAGTATTCTTGGTTATGGTTGGAATTTCTCATTGCTACTTTTTCCCCGTAAATTATATATTTTAGTTCACCTACTAATAATTTGAGTGAAAGTAAACTGTTTCACATATGATGCTTTATATATTTCCTAAACCTAATTTTGTTTGGTTTTTGGGTTGTCCCATTTGAACCCTTTGAAATGTATGAACACACGGTTGTGGTGTTTAAGTTTAAATGAGATGTTTGACGTCATATTTCACAATGCATGTAAATGAGTTTACAATTGTATTTAGAAATAAATTTGGAATGAACTTGAGAATTAGAATGTAAATGGGCTTTTCTTTTGTAATTATGAGAAACTTTCTAATTAGATCCTAAGTGAATTTTTTTAATGAAAGATATGTTCTTTTGAATTTCTAGAGTTGATTGATTGTGTGATATCTGGAATGAAATTCTAGTTACTCATATGTTATGGCTAGGTACTGATTATTCTTTTCTAGCAATTGATGGACTGTATTTCTTTCCCATGTTTTTTGTGGATGTACTAGATTGTAAATGGTCCTGAAGTCCTAAGCAAATTTGTTGGTGAAACTGAAAAGAATATTAGGGATCTTTTTGCTGATGCTGAGAATGATCAAAGGTCTCGTGGTAAGGGAAACTAACATGCTTTGTGTACTTCTAGACTTGTCTTTCTAAATGATGCTGATTTTGTTCCCATTTTATTTTTCAGGGGACCAAAGTGATTTGCATGTCATAATATTTGATGAAATTGATGCTATTTGTAAGGTAAGAGATTTGCAACTTTTACCTATCTATCTTGTCCAGTACATTGAAAGTTGGTATCAGTGTCTTCCTATGAGCACTAGCAAACCTGGTGCCATTTAAATGTTTATTCTTTTACTTAATGATTAATTGCGTTTAAATGTTGCTTTGACTGGGATTTAGTCAACCATTTTTTTCTTATTTTTGAACATATTGTGGGGATCAACTGATGTTTAGTATTTGTTTTTGGATGTCTTTCATGTTCTTGAAGTAATTATTGTTGATAATAAAAGCAAGAACTGATCTGTTAGACTTAGGATCTAGCATAGTTGTTATTGTTATTTTGGCTGCAATTGTTATTTGTTGTTACTATTCTTACACATTACAATTCTTTTTTTCCCAATATGTAGTTCAAGAATTTATTAGGGTGCTTATGTTCACTTAGATTGTGTCACTAGCGTCTATAACAGTGGAACCCTTTTACCCTGACCAAATTTATCTTTCCTTTTCTTAATTTATTGTTATTTCAGATATTTAAGTCAGGAATTTTATCTGTATATGATAATGTAATTTTGTGATTGTTATAAAGATAAATTTGTTTATATGGATTGTAATGTTTGTTACCAATTTGTTACTAATTTTCAATGTCAATGTTTGAAGAATATAATTTCGTAGTCTTAGCTAGCAGTGGGATCCCTTTATTTTGCCAATTTTTATCACAGACCAATTTAAATTTTTTATATCACCACTGGAATAATGAATTCCTTTTTTTTTTGAGTGAATTGGGGTATTTTTTTTCATGAGAAACATATTCTCTAGTTTGATTTCTTTTTACTATGACCTTTGAAGAATTAACTTTGTGGCTTTAGCTACATTTCTGCCTAGCGCTGGTATAATAGATCTGTCATAAAACCTTAAGTTTATACATTAATATTGGCTTTGAGATTTTTTGTTTATATTAGAGAGGTTATCTATTAACAGAATAATCTTGATGCATGCTTTTATTTTGACATTTTCAGTCAAGAGGATCAACTAGAGATGGTACAGGAGTTCATGATAGCATTGTCAATCAGCTACTTACCAAGGTCAGTGCGGAGTTTAAATAATTTCTGACTCTTCGAAAATTAATATAAATCTTTTTTGGCTGCTGACATTTTACATTTGTGGGGTTTCTCTTTCATTGCAAAGGCTAAGTGATGTCGTTATATGGCTAACAAAGTACTTGCTTTGCAGATAGATGGTGTGGAGTCTCTAAATAATGTTTTGCTTATTGGAATGACCAACAGAAAGGATATGCTGGATGAAGCACTCTTGAGGTTCCTCCCTCTCGCTCTTTCTCTTTCTCTCTCTGCCCCTTGCGGCATTTAACTGCCTCTTACCTCTTTAGATTATCTCATATTATGGAAATCATGAGTGACAACTGGCAATTAAAAGTAAAGTTGATGTGTTTTGACCATAATCGTTATAGTCTTCTGAGCTACAGTAACTACGGAACANAAAAAAAAAAAAAAAAAAAAAATCTTGTTTTCGTGATATGGAAATCGGTATGTTACCATAATGCAGTTGATGTATTAAGTGAGTAAAAATTCAGTAAGGTTGCTGGATTCCCATGACTTTTGGTAGCATGACATGTAATATGAATTTGTTGCCAGTTGACATTGAATGTTACCTGATACGGTATGCCAATGTATGTGACAAGCAGGACATTGAAGTATGACCTTATTATGTTGTTAGATTTTGTGAAGTTGGTGTTGTTGTTACGAATTGAATATTTTACTCTTTGTGACGATTATGATATTGACATGGTAAGACTGGCGGACTGAATACAACACAATAATGGTGATATATACTAATCAAGCGTTTTATATGTTAAAAGTTTTGTGTATAATTCATATTTTATTACTGCTTTCTTGTTAGATATTACTTATATGACATTGTGTGTTTTAAAAAATGGCAGTTTTGAATTATAGTTGATTACATATTAAAAAAAGAATTATCATTGATTTTTGGTTATAGCACTGAGATTATTCGTGTTAGTAACACAAAATGTATTGCATATGCCCGGCAGTGTACCATCCTGGGGTTTTTAAATGGCCGATAAAGGTTGCATGCTATTAGCATGGTATCAATCTGTTAATGTTACTACAAAATGTGGAAGATGGGTGTTTTTGTTTCCTTTTGTGATCTTAACTGAGGTTAACTTCTCATCCGGGCATAAGCAATGGTCAAATTGGCTTGAATTCAATCCAACGTCGCCAAGCTAGAGTTTCCAGTGGTGACTCAGTATCTCTAAACAGGTTATTTATTTTGTGTTTTAATTCTTATTCTTATTCTTATTTTTATTTTGATTTTGTTTATGTTTTTGTATCTAGATTTACCAGTTTCTAACTTTATAGAAGTTTTTCTTTGGGCTTTTTGGTTGTAGATATATCCCACCAGATGATTTTAATCTTGCTTTGCTATCGGTTGAGTTGGAATTTGTTAAAAAGGGTACTAAAAGTGAACAAGTATGCACACCAATCTCCTTTCTTTATTTTCTTTGCCACTTCTTTTTTTTATTTTTATTATTTTTTCAATTGAAGTATATTTTTTTTCCATTGTTAGGTTGATGCTGTTCTTTTGGCTAATCAACTCAGAAAGAGATTTGGTAACCAGGTAAACTTGTACATATCGACTAAAGTAATTTAGGTTGCCATTGTGAGTGTTTTTGTAGAAATTACTTGTGAGCGGTGAGATTTTTATGAGACATTTACAAGTGCCGCATTTCTGAATATGAAAGTGCTTTTCTTATTCAATACTGTCTTTTGGAAAGACACCTATTTAAGTGCTTTTTTAGAAAAGAACTTCAAGCATATTTTGGGATGTTGTTTGATAAAGCCACTGCATTTGATTATTAGAAAGCACTTTTAGCAAAAATAAAAGCACTCCTAAGCATACTATTGTATGATATAGTCTTTTAGATGATTTAAAGGAATTCTTTGCAGGTTATGACGGCAGGGCAGAAAGTTATATTCGAATATCATGGAAATAATTACATTTTTACAGTAAATCAAGCAGTTATAGAAGGTCAAGAAAAATCCAATGCTGTTGAAAGAGGGATGATATCCAATGACACTTACATTGTCTTTGAAGCATCTAATGCCAGTGGAATTAAGGTATTCTATTATTTACATGTTTCATATTTTTAGACAATGTAAATGTTTGATCATTTAAGTTATGATTTGATCAATTTGGTGTAGCTTGATTCATTCATTAACTTGTGCTGTACTGTGCAGATTGTCAACCAACGAGAGGCTGCCAGTAGCAACATCTTCAGGCATAAGGAGTTTAATCTTCAGTCACTGGGTATAGGTGGCCTAAGTGCAGAATTTGCTGATATCTTTCGAAGAGCATTTGCTTCTAGGGTTTTTCCTCCTCATGTGACTAGCAAGTAATATATCTTATTCTTCAACTTATTTAAATCCTAATATGGTTATCAATGTATCTGTGCTCCTAATTGAAAGCTTTTTAATTTCCCAGACTGGGTATTAAGCATGTAAAGGGTATGCTGCTTTATGGGCCTCCCGGTACTGGGAAAACTCTTATGGCTCGCCAAATTGGAAAAATGTTGAATGGAATGGAGCCAAAGGTTTGGACACGGATATACTGTTTATTTATTTTAATTTATGTGCAGAGATTAATGAAATGATTTATACACCTTAGCTGGTGATAATGGTGGCGATAATTTTGTGTTCTTATCTGCATTCTAGCCAATAAGTGAAATCTTTGAGCTCTATCATTGTTGTTATTGTGTTAGGATTACTATCTGGTTGATCATCTAATTTTTTGTCATACAACTTTTGTTTGTTTATTTCTTTATTTTTGGTGTACTAGATGCTCTCATGTGTGCATAATACACTTTGATTTTATGCCAGTATTCTTGGTTATGGTTGGAATTTCTCATTGCTACTTTTTCCCCGTAAATTATATATTTTAGTTCACCTACTAATAATTTGAGTGAAAGTAAACTGTTTCACATATGATGCTTTATATATTTCCTAAACCTAATTTTGTTTGGTTTTTGGGTTGTCCCATTTGAACCCTTTGAAATGTATGAACACACGGTTGTGGTGTTTAAGTTTAAATGAGATGTTTGACGTCATATTTCACAATGCATGTAAATGAGTTTACAATTGTATTTAGAAATAAATTTGGAATGAACTTGAGAATTAGAATGTAAATGGGCTTTTCTTTTGTAATTATGAGAAACTTTCTAATTAGATCCTAAGTGAATTTTTTTAATGAAAGATATGTTCTTTTGAATTTCTAGAGTTGATTGATTGTGTGATATCTGGAATGAAATTCTAGTTACTCATATGTTATGGCTAGGTACTGATTATTCTTTTCTAGCAATTGATGGACTGTATTTCTTTCCCATGTTTTTTGTGGATGTACTAGATTGTAAATGGTCCTGAAGTCCTAAGCAAATTTGTTGGTGAAACTGAAAAGAATATTAGGGATCTTTTTGCTGATGCTGAGAATGATCAAAGGTCTCGTGGTAAGGGAAACTAACATGCTTTGTGTACTTCTAGACTTGTCTTTCTAAATGATGCTGATTTTGTTCCCATTTTATTTTTCAGGGGACCAAAGTGATTTGCATGTCATAATATTTGATGAAATTGATGCTATTTGTAAGGTAAGAGATTTGCAACTTTTACCTATCTATCTTGTCCAGTACATTGAAAGTTGGTATCAGTGTCTTCCTATGAGCACTAGCAAACCTGGTGCCATTTAAATGTTTATTCTTTTACTTAATGATTAATTGCGTTTAAATGTTGCTTTGACTGGGATTTAGTCAACCATTTTTTTCTTATTTTTGAACATATTGTGGGGATCAACTGATGTTTAGTATTTGTTTTTGGATGTCTTTCATGTTCTTGAAGTAATTATTGTTGATAATAAAAGCAAGAACTGATCTGTTAGACTTAGGATCTAGCATAGTTGTTATTGTTATTTTGGCTGCAATTGTTATTTGTTGTTACTATTCTTACACATTACAATTCTTTTTTTCCCAATATGTAGTTCAAGAATTTATTAGGGTGCTTATGTTCACTTAGATTGTGTCACTAGCGTCTATAACAGTGGAACCCTTTTACCCTGACCAAATTTATCTTTCCTTTTCTTAATTTATTGTTATTTCAGATATTTAAGTCAGGAATTTTATCTGTATATGATAATGTAATTTTGTGATTGTTATAAAGATAAATTTGTTTATATGGATTGTAATGTTTGTTACCAATTTGTTACTAATTTTCAATGTCAATGTTTGAAGAATATAATTTCGTAGTCTTAGCTAGCAGTGGGATCCCTTTATTTTGCCAATTTTTATCACAGACCAATTTAAATTTTTTATATCACCACTGGAATAATGAATTCCTTTTTTTTTTGAGTGAATTGGGGTATTTTTTTTCATGAGAAACATATTCTCTAGTTTGATTTCTTTTTACTATGACCTTTGAAGAATTAACTTTGTGGCTTTAGCTACATTTCTGCCTAGCGCTGGTATAATAGATCTGTCATAAAACCTTAAGTTTATACATTAATATTGGCTTTGAGATTTTTTGTTTATATTAGAGAGGTTATCTATTAACAGAATAATCTTGATGCATGCTTTTATTTTGACATTTTCAGTCAAGAGGATCAACTAGAGATGGTACAGGAGTTCATGATAGCATTGTCAATCAGCTACTTACCAAGGTCAGTGCGGAGTTTAAATAATTTCTGACTCTTCGAAAATTAATATAAATCTTTTTTGGCTGCTGACATTTTACATTTGTGGGGTTTCTCTTTCATTGCAAAGGCTAAGTGATGTCGTTATATGGCTAACAAAGTACTTGCTTTGCAGATAGATGGTGTGGAGTCTCTAAATAATGTTTTGCTTATTGGAATGACCAACAGAAAGGATATGCTGGATGAAGCACTCTTGAGGTTCCTCACTCTCACTCTATCTCTATCTCTCTCTGCCCCTTGAGGCATTTAACTGCCTCTTACCTCTTTAGATTATCTCATATTATGGAAATCATGAGTGACAACTGGCAATTAAAAGTAAAGTTGATGTGTTTTGACCATAATCGTTATAGTCTTCTGAGCTACAGTAACTACGGAACATGGATTGACTTTGAGAAGGATTTGTAATTTGTTCTATGACAAGCATATGAAATAAATGGGATTCAAGTATGCAAGGTTTTATTGGTTGAAGAAGACAAAAAATAAGGCATTCATGTGTTCATTTATCCACTAACAAATTCCTTTAGTATACATCTTTGAAACCCTTTTTTTCTTTTTCCTGAAATTTATAGGCCTGGTCGGTTGGAGGTTCAAATTGAGATCAGCCTTCCAGATGAAAATGGCCGCCTGCAGATTCTTCAAATTCATACGAACAAGATGAAAGAGAATTCATTTCTTTCTCCTGATGTGAACCTTCAAGAACTTGGTATGTGAATTAGTTGTATTCTTTTCCTTTTAAAAAACAAAAGAAAAAAAGAAGGCTCTATATAGTTTTACACATTCATGTTTGTGATCATTTTTGTGTGTACAGCTGCTCGTACAAAAAACTTCAGTGGTGCAGAGCTTGAAGGTGTTGTGAAAAGTGCTGTATCCTATGCTTTGAATAGACAAATTAGTATGGATGACCTTACCAAGCCAGTGGACGAAGAGAGTATCAAAGTTACCATGGATGACTTTCTTAATGCACTTCATGAAATTGTTCCTGCATTTGGGGCATCCACTGATGACCTCGAGCGCTGTAGGTAATGCTTTTAGCTGCAAACAGAGAAAATTGTCTTCTTTTTCTTTCTAAAGATCAAACAGTGAATTTTTTCAACAATCGTAAGGCGTTTTAGTTTCTATTCTGCTTGCATCTGCATCATCATTTGAATGCTAGAAATAAATTTGCTAGGAAATCTGAATTACAATTTTGTATGCTTGCATATGACCATAGGTTTTGATTTCTAATACTCCATTTATACAAGTCTATTTGAACTGTCTCTGTTAAGATTCCACATTGGAAGGGAAAAGGATAGGCATGTGGGTTATAAAGGGCTTGGGCATCCTCCCTTGACAAGCCGGTTTTCCAAAGAGAGTTCTACTCAAGCCTACCAAAGGACCACCCAACCCAATTCCTATTAATTTAGGAGTGGGTTCCTATCAAATGGTATCAAAGTATGATCCTGCGCCCACGTAGGCATCGCCTATGTGGCAAGTTGACCTTGGGCCTGGGCTGTTACCTCAAGAAAGGGCATGGAGGCCCAAGAGAAAAGAGATCCGCGTAGTCACCCAAGGGGTAAAGAGGCTGGTGTGGATGTCGGTTGCGAAAACGTGGTGGTTGTTAGGATCCCACATTGGAAGGGAAAAGGGTTGGCATGTGGGTTATAAATGGCTTGAGCACCCTCCTTTGGCAAGCCGGTTTTCCAAGGAGAGTTTTACCTAAGCCCACAAAAGGACCATTGCCCAGCCCAATTCCTATCAAAGGCCTACTGCTCAACCCAATTCTTATTAATTTGGGAGTGGGTTCCTATCAGTCTCTTAGTGACTATTGTCAAGATTTCCAAAGCATCTTTAATGGATAAGTAGCTGCCAAGATTTGAAATGAAGGATGTCTATAATAGTTAAATGTCAATGTGAAATTTTATAAATACATTAGTTATTGGTCTTTATATCTGCTTTACCAAAACAACTATTGATTGTTTAAATGTTATAAAATTTAGCTCTCATGGCTACCTTGCTGTCTTTAATAATTTACCAAGTTCTAATTCCACTTCAACTGGCTTTATTGTTGAGTTGTCTGCCACAATTAGATTGATTAATATAAGGAGGCTTGCAGAATTTCCAAACATTTATTTTGTATCTTGATGCACTTTCTTTTTCTCTTTTCTATTTTTGAGAGCTCTTTAAATTAAATCTATTTTTTTCTGTTTGAGATTTCAGCAGAATAACATGCATGTTAACTCTCTATCTTGTTTATTATTGTTCTATGTAACATGATACTAGACTTAATGGCATGGTGGACTGTGGTAATCGCCATAAGCACATCTATCAAAGGGCTATACTACTAGTGGAACAAGTTAAAGTGAGCAAAGGAAGTCCTCTCGTTACTTGTCTTTTGGAAGGCCCAAGTGGCAGGTATGCATGGTCAATTTTTTAGTTGCTTTTTTCTATTGCTGCCAGCTTATACTGAATCATAATTTCCATGGACAGTGGTAAATCTGCTTTGGCAGCTACTGTTGGCATTGATAGCGATTTTCCATATGTGAAGATAGTAAGCTCCTCTCCTATATGTGTAGATGACATCCTTTTACTTCTGGAATTTCCAGCCTGATTCTGATTTTTTTTTTTTTTCCGTCCCTTGAATTGGGTAGATCTCAGCTGAATCAATGATTGGTCTTCATGAGAGCACCAAATGTGCACAGATTGTCAAGGTTTGTGAATGATTATTTTTTGGCCCTCCTTTTTCCACTTTTTATTTTTTAAAAGCAAGGGAAAATATTTGTTTTTTTCTTGAATTTCTATTTTGTGCTACACTTGAAGAGAATGGTGATTAATCTGTGGGCTATATTGATTTTCATTTGGCTATCATATTTGTCATATTAGAAAAAAAGGAAAAGTTTCATAGTATTTTTTATGTTTTGAAAGGTTTTTGAGGATGCATACAAGTCACCCTTGAGTATTATTATCCTTGATGACATTGAAAGGTATGACCTACTGTCTTGAGTTATGTCATCTTAAGCATTTCCCTTCATTTAGCTATCTACTTATATATAAATACCCTGTGTTTTACTTTTGCAGGTTACTGGAGTATGTTGCAATTGGACCTCGTTTTTCAAATATAATTTCTCAAACGCTGTTGGTCCTCCTCAAACGGCTTCCACCAAAGGTTTATTTTTGGTTTTTGTCTCTTTTGCATATGTTTTGGTTTTATCATTCAGGCCAAGCTAAATTCTGTATGAACTTTGTTTTCAGGGTAAAAAGCTTTTGGTGATAGGGACAACAAGTGAAGTGAGCTTCTTAGATTCAGTTGGCCTTTGTGACGCTTTCTCTGTCACTTACAATGTCCCTACTTTGAAGACAGATGATGCAAAGAAGGTAATAGTTGCTACTGTCACTCATCTTCTTTTGGATCATCTTGTTTTCATGATCTCCTAGTTTGTTTCCTCTGGCCAGTCTGAATTACTTACTCCATTAATGCTAGTAATTTTTTAACAACGTGGAAAATCATGAAGCTTATTATTTTGTATATTGGTATCTGTAACTTATTCAAGATGCCTGCTTTGTAATCTTTTCACCGAGAGTCAGCCATGGGCATTAGTTTAGGCCCTGTAACTCTGGCTTCTCGTACTGTTGTTGATTTGGGTTGATTCCTGGCTTATGAATGCTGCGTGGTATTTGTATGAATCTTATTCACTTGCAAACTTGGTTTATTATGCTCTGTTGTTCTGGTAAACTTAGAATCTGAAGTAACCATTGTAAAATTTGGAATGCATTCCTCAGAAGGCACTTTTATGTTCTGTTAACTGCTGCATCTTATCATGATCATGCATACAAGCTGAGAAATTCAAACTTAGTGCATTCAATCGTTTCTGATATGTTGAAATTTATAGATGCCCAAAAAGTCATGCATAGTTGAATATTTTATAAATGAAAGTGTTCACACAAGTCTTGGCACATGTTTTACTGTTGACTATTCACTATCACTTATGACCTGCCTTGATATAGGAAATCTAGTATTTTTTTTTTTTTTTTCTTTTTCTTTTAAGAAAGAAACATGGAAATCTTGTATTTTTTGTGCATCTTATATCAGGAAAGGCCTTGTATGGATGGTATTTTTTTTGTTTTTCATAACGTTAATGATACCCATTTGTCTAGGAAAAGAGATGTTCTTTTTCCAAGTGCTTTTTTGTTGTCTACAAGTTAGTCTGAATTCTGGGAGTATATTTTGATAATACTTCATATGCAGCCATTATAATCTTAAACAGGAAAATATTTATAAGTAAATCATTTAATTTGCAATTAATCTCTTCTTGTTCTCTCCAGGTGTTAAAACAACTCAACGTTTTTGCTCAAGAAGATATTGATACAGCTGCAGAGGCCCTGAATGATGTGAGTTTTTATATATTTATCTCCCAGCATGCCTTTTACAGTTATTTCTGTGTAATTGAGTTCTTAAAATAAAACAAATTGTCCACTAAATTGAGTTTGAAATCAAACGATTACTACAAAATTGTGATGGTAGAAGAAAGAGGACACATCTTGAAGCTCTGAGTCTATTCATACCCTCCTTGTTTTTTGTTAAAGAAAATGGTGGGCAGCTTGTCATTCACACGCTTTGCCTTTAGAAATATGGTACCTCAATTGTTTTTTCTTCTGATGAATATGTTAGCTTGTATATCATACTTTCCGTGATCACAACACTAATCATTCTCGGAGTTCTTACCGCTCACAATCTTAGCTTTTCTGTCCTGGAATTGTACCTTGCATTCTGAAGGTAGCTTGGTGTCCCAAGTCCTGATGTGAACATATTTAAGTTACTGTAAAAACTACATCACCAATTCTGAACACAGTATTATTTACTTTTTGCCATGATAGTACTGTTGCCGGTAGTTGGAAATAAAAGAACTCATTGTTGCTTTCTCTGTTTTTTTCTCTTAGATACCTATCAAGAAGCTGTATATGGTGATTGAGATGGCCGCTCAAGGAGAGCACGGCGGATCCGCGGAGGCAATCTTCTCTGGCAAAGAAAAGATTAAGATCTCACACTTCTACGATTGCCTTCAGGATATGGTTCGATACTAGTTTCAACACTTACTTTCAATCTTAATTTTCCGAGTTAACTCAAAAAAAATACTGCAATGGGTGCTTCACCATGTCTAGTTTGGAACTAGATCTGGTGTTACATATCAAAAGGGTTAATTGGTCTTCAATTCCTTGTTGCTTGCTTTGATCTATCTTTTTATATTCATTTTTATTGTTTTGGGTCGTGTTTGATTTCCTCTAGCTTAATTTTGGAATCCAGCCCTGTAAATTTTACAAATTACAAACCTTTTTTGGAGAATTATGTAATAGAGAATAGAAGAAACTTTTGTGGTCATATCTTGAGAAATTATTTTTCATTCTTATATAGTTTAGACTTTAGAGTAATGATATACATTGTAAATGAGAGTCCGAATTTCTCATCCAAAGTGATTGTGTCGTTTTATGTGGCGTTGATGGATCAATTAACTTTTTCATTTTCACATAAACGCCACATAGGATGATATATTAATTAAGGTCGTAATTTTGGGATATCACTTCGTACGTATAATATTATTGCGTTAGGGTTTTATATTATGTCGAATTTTAGGGTTGTTAATGTGGTGGTTTTGGTTGAATTTATTCGTTAATTGTTTTAACTTGATTCTTAAATTGTTTGGTGAAAGAGAAATTGAAGAAGTTTATTGTGTAAAAAACAAATTGTGATAAATTGTGTTGTAAATATGCAAATTGGTAGATTTAAGTACAAGGGTAAAAAATCTAATTAGAAGTTTAACTAATATTGAAAGGAGGGTTTGACTCTTGTTCTCCAAAAGAGGGTTGGTCACTTACTCATTTAATCTCCATCCAAATATAATAAAACCTTTCTATAGATATAATGATAAGATCAAACTAATTTTATTGAAGTTATAATTTAATAGAGGTGTAATTACAAAAATTATTGTTTTGACTTAATTATTCTTAATGCAAGTGATATAGAAGTAAAATATACACTACATTAAGAGTAAACGACTTTTTTCCATCCAGATAATAACTTAATGACACTTTTCTATTCACAGACTCTTAAAATACCACTTTATTATCCAAATTAATATTTCGTTTTCGATTCCGGCATCATTGCGATCCCATATTATCATCATTCTCTTCTCTAATCATCACTCACCAAAACAACCCCCCACTGACCCTGGCAAACGCTAACAATTGAGCAGTTAGAGTTTGCGTAGCCACCCCTTCCAAGTCAAATTTCGATCAATTTCAATCACCAAAATCCAATATTTCACCACTAAAAGACTCATCGGCCCCCCCTCTTTAAAAGTTCCAATAACTTGGACCGAGTCTGTTTTTTGTTCATTGCTGGATTATAAATTTAGGTAATAAAATGATATTTTAAAAGTCTGTAGGTGGGAAAGTGTCATTAAGCCATTATTTGGGTGGGAAAAAATCGTTAACTCTTACATTAATAATTAATTATTGGAGTATATCAAATCCAAGATATAAACGTTGATAAAAGAGATAAGACATAATTTCTTACAAAGTTTGAATATTGCTCTTCTATACATCAAACATGCATAGCAATGTTCTAATACAAAATTTTGAACGAATTAAAGAGCGAGCATGCATAATACATGTGCCCAAATTAAGAGGAAATTAATAGTATGAATGATCACTGTTTTAAAACCCAGACTGGACCAGCTGGTCTGACTGGTTCAACTAGGACCTGACAACCTCTCTGATCCGGTTCAGGATTTAAGGGGTTTTTGATATATTTCAAACTTATAGAGACTACTTTATAGTTTTATAGGGGTTTTTTCAATGTTTCAAAACTTTGGGGACAATTTCATAATTTAGTTGAGCATTTTGAAATAAATTAAAATTTTAGGGACTCACCTGTAAGTTTTAGGGGCATTTTGTAATATACTAAAATTTAATAAACTATTTTGTAATTTTTAAAACTATTTTCTTTGCTGACATCACCGGCCCAATTAGTTGGACTAGTAGACTTGTGACACGGTCACTTTGTAGAGTCTCACAACGGGTCGAGTTTTAAAACAACGTGAATAATACGCATTACCTAAATCTTTTTATTCTTTTTAAAACAGTGTTAGGTAGTATACTTAAACTAATATAAATTTTATCTATAACACGATACACAGTTGGACTTTAAAACGATTCTCTGCGTACATCAGGACATCGAAGTACAAACAAGCCACTTAAGAGTTAAGATAATTAATTATACTGTAGTTATCCAACATCATAATTATTCTTAATATATTTAGCTTTTTGCAAAAAACTGAGTTTATTTAGCCTTCTACATGCATATTTAATTTAATTAGTCCTAATGTGCATAATATATGTATGATTATGAACATAACACTAGCTTACATGCATAATAGTCAAAGCAAGGGAAAGCCAAAATACAAGTAAAAAAGTCAGCTTTCTAGGAAAAATAACAGTTCCTAACTAGTCTATAGTAATCCAACAAATCCAACAAAACATTTTAATTAACTTATGCATTAATTCCTAACTATATTACTCACTCGTGTAAGTCGACAGTTTAATTGATTCTAAGTGTTATTATGTTACGGTCATTTATAGGTTTTACGTTTGAGTTTACAGTATCACATTATAATCATTTTGACAAACCTATATTTCAATAATGTACTCATAAGTTAGGCAAATTGATTAGATTCAAGTGAGATTAGTGTTGTAGTGATTTACGGGTTTTACAGTATCACAATAAATATATCCGAACAAAGCTCATATTTTAATAATGTTTAATTCATTATTCATTAATTACTCAGTCATTTTTTTTTTGAGCTTAAAGGATCTCATAATCATATATGATTGTTTCATAAATATGGGTTACCAATCTTATGTACATAAAATTAAACCTCCACCACTGAAATTAGTGAAGATAATTCGAAAATTATTTATGAATAAAAGAATTTATTATAATTTTAAAATGATTAGGTATTTAATATATTTAAAAATGATACAAATATCATTTCTTACAGTGCTTTTATAAATATAAATATTACTTAATTCCAAAGTTTAGATTGATAATAAGATAAAAAGTAAACAATATTATTTAAGTCTATAAAGATGGGTGTACTTAACAATCTCATTATCATATAAAAAAATAAAATAATAATTACTAATTTTGTCTTTCACTTAATTCATTAATATCTCTCATATTTAACATTGTTTTTTCTTCTAATGATCGGATATATTATTTTCATCGCATCTTTCTTCTAATGATCAGATTTGTTGTTTTCATCAATTTCACTTTTAATGATCATATTGTTTTTTTTTGACATAAATCAATCATATTTTTGTATGAATCAAACTTTTTTTTTTTTTTTTAATTCGGAATTAAATTTTTGTTAGGAGTCATTTGCAATCTTTCAATGAATTAAAAATGACTCATGGCGTTCCCTCTTCAAAAGCCAATAACCTTGACGATTGCCTTTTGTTCATTGTCGATATAAATTTAGGTAATGAAATAGTATTTAAAAGTCTGCAGGTGAAAAAATGTCATTAAGTCGTTATTTGGTGGGAAAAAGTCGTTAACTCTCATTAATATAATTAATTAATGAAGATACAAATTCAAGGTATAGACATAATAAAGAGATAGACATATATTCTTACAAAGTTTGAATGCTCTTCTATAGATCAAAATGCATAGCAAGTTCTAATACAAATTTTGAACGAATTAAAGAGTAGCATGCATTAGATGTGTCCAATTAAGAGAATTAATAGTATGAATGATCACTATTTCAAAACCCAGCTTGGACTGGTGGTCGATTGGGACCCGACAACCTCTCCGATCCGGTTCAGGTTTCAGGGGTTTTTTTGATATATTTCAAACTTATAGAGACAAACTTATAGTTTTATAGGGGTTTTTTTAATGTTTCAAAAAATTTGGGGACAATTATAATTAGTTGAGCATTTGAAATAAATTAAAATTTTAGGGACTCCCCTGTAATTTTTAGGGGCATTTTGTAAATACTAAATTTAATAGAACTATTTTGTAATTTTAAAGTATTTTCTTTGATGATGACCGGTCCAATTGATGGATGGTAGACTTGTGACACGGCTAATTTGTAGGTCGGTCAAGTTTTAAAAATAATGTGAATAGAACGTATACCATGATTATTTTATTCTTTTTAAAAGAGTGTTAGGTAATAACTACATCAGGACATGGAAGTACAGACAGGCCGTTTAAGAGTTAAGAAATTAATTATATTATAGTATCCAAAACTCATAATTATTCTTTATTATTTTTTTTTGCTACAAATTGAGTTTCATTTAGCCTTCTACGTGCATAATTATATGTATGATTATGAACATACACTAGCTTACATGCATAATAGTCCAAGAGCAAGAGAAAGCCAATATACAAGTAAAAAAGTCAGCTTTTTAGGAAAAAAAACGTTTCCCTTAACCCAAGTGCTATAAATAATCAACAAAACATTTTAATTAACTCTAATGCTATTAATCAACATATATAACATTGTTTTTCTTCTAATGATGGATATATTATTTTCATCGATCTTTCTTCTAATGATATATTTGTTGTTTTCACAATTTTACTTTAAGATCATTTTTTTTTTTTTTGACATAAATAATCATATTCTTGGTATAATCAAATTTTTTTTTTTAAATTTTGGAATTAATTTTTTTGTTAGGAATCATTTGCAATCTTTCAATGAATAAAAATAGCTATTTTCTTCAAAAAATAAATATATATTGATACAACCCTATTTATTAAAATATAATAAGAACATAATTTAAATAAAATATCTTTGTGGCATTTGATATATTTATAACGTCTTATTTAACCATTGTGTAAAGAATTTTTCGATTTATTCATTTAGTTTTCTTAATAAACTGCTAACAGATACTCAATGTTGCTTGTGAACCTAAATCGGAAACATAAATATTTAAGGAGATAAGGATGTATTATAATATGTAACAATAAAGAAACTTTGTGTTATTTTTTATAATTTCCTTCAAGGAATGTGTAAACTCTCTCTCTCCTATATATATACAGACACACACATTATTAGAACGAAAACTGTCTATTTGGAACATTATACAGCTATTTCAGTAATGGAAGTCCAAAAACCATATCAGAAACCTTGTTCTGGTTTAATGACGCCATTTGAAAGGGGTTCGGTGGAATATGCGGTTGGTTTGGTAGAAGAGATTGGAGCTGGACAAAAAATGACGAAAAACAGCCACGCAAATGGAACGACATGTACGATTTTAGTAAAGAGCGTGTGAACCATGTACCATGTTAAAGGCAAAAGCAAGAAGACAATAAGAACGCATCCATTCTTAAATTATAGAAAATATTTACCAA